TGAGATTAATTAGTTGGAAACGAATAATCTTCCCTCATATACACGTCTTACGCATTAGTATTTAAAAAAAATGAAATTCAGAATTCATGTATCCTGTCGTCTACTAGTAATCGTTTACAGTGTAGATTTTATATGCTCTTATGTTACTTATGGACATGCGCGACCTGCTTTTTTCTTAGTAGATTAATGCACGATAAAAAAGAATATCGCGTAAAGAAACTACTGAAAAAACATGAATGCTTATTCCAGCGACTGCTTTGCCATGTTTCAAAGATTTTTTTAAAGTGTAAATAACAATTGTTGATTGAAGACAGCGTTAAAATATAGATGGGTCAAATAACTAAACATTTGATTGGCTTGTCTAAGCGGATCATTTTCTAACTTAACAGAATTCTAACACGGCAGAGATGACAAATGACATAACTAATGATAAATTGATAAAGTGTTTGTGCGAGTCATACATCAATTGATTCTCTATTACGCAATATAAATAATTGACTTTCAAACAAGAATGAATAATTAGATCGTAAGATGTAGTTTATACATGATACAAAACATTACTTTGTTGATTGTCGTTTTACTGATAAATGTCCTATGCCTTGGTTCGTATTCATTAAAGTCGATCAGATTTTACATTATTTAATCCAATGACGTTTTTGGATCAAGACTAAATCGAATATTCATTATCTCTCTGGAAATACTTACTTACTTACCAGAAGTTAAGATATTATTATATTATCATAGTTCCTAGTCTTCAATGTATTTCAACAACCAATTTGAGAAAATCTGATACAGATAGGTTTATATGAAAAGATTAGGTTTCCTAAACAATAATTGAAAATCATCCTAATTAGCCAAAATTGGTAAGCACAGACATTGTCACAATGAGAAACAACTATTTTCTTTGCAAAACATATAGGTTGTCTATAATTGCAAATTAAAAGAAGCTTACAGAAAGTATCACCATAACATTAAACTTAACAATATAATATATGTCATTAGACGATCTAAAAAACTTGAGAAGATCAATTAATCGTAAAGACATCTCACTCGTTCAAGAGATTAGTTCAGTGGTAACGTCTATAACTGTGTCACTGGGTGATTGAGGATTGAATCTAGCAAAAAGCATCCATTCCCTTAGGTTTACAAGTAAACTTTGCTGACGAGTGCTAAGCAACACGAAACGTAGGCCAAGCAGAGTTTCCTGTCAGGTACTTGTAAACACTAACTTACACGATAAATATTTACCTGTTTTTGCAGAAGTTTAACAAATGCTGCATTGTTTCTTTCAGCAGCTGCTTTAGTACTAGCTAAACGTTCACGTTGTCTCGAAACTTCAATTGCTCGTCTTCGTTGATCTAAGGATAATCGTAAAGCTGCTGCACGTCCAAAACTTGTAGTTTCTTGATCAGATTTAGTACTACTAGATGAAATGACATTGTCTGTAGTGTTGCTAACATCATTAACTTTTTGTGCATGAGAACGTGCATTTCCAGAATCTTTCCAAGTTTTTGTTCCTAACGGTAAACTAAAAGTAATAGTGATATTAAGATAAATGAACAACCTAGAAGAATTAGATTACTACGTTGTTTGCGAAAAAAACTATCATATTGAACAACTAATTAAAATCAATACATAATCTATACAGAATAAATGGGATGCATTTAGCACCGGAATCCAGGTTATATACACTCGTTAATTTAAACAAGAATCGTCAATTAATCATTGTTAGACACTACCTATTAGAAACGTGAAAGTACTAAATGACCATTTTGTCCTAGTATGAGTATTGTTCAGTAGTGCTTCCAGGATGTTAATGCTACACTGCCTAACAATGATTAATGAAGTCACGATTCCAACTGATAATTTAGTTTTTCTATACATATATATACCTATTATTTTCACATAGTTTATGACTGTTACAAAAATCGACTCAAAAAAAATTTCTGTAACATATTTTTTTGCTCTCCAAATCATATGATGATCACCTAATAACAGAGAAATGAAATGGTCAGTACAAGAAAAAAAAGAAAGTTACCAAATAGGACATGTGATCGGTATGTGTATGTGTGTGCATAAGAGAGAGAGCGAGAGAGCACTGATTTTCAGGTCTTTCTAGAAAAGAATTTTTCTTTCTATTGATTCATACTTTTAATCATTACATTCCCACATGTTGGATTGGTAATGTAGAGTGTACTAATTAATAATAATGAGAAATATCACTCATTATATATTAGATTGAAATATCCACATTTAGGCTTTAAAACAAAATTTATCAGCAACAGAATAATCTATGCAGTGAATTTTGAATAGGGTAGCTAATTAGAAAATAACTTCATTTCTGACTTCTTCATTAAATGTACATAGTAATGATTATGCATAAAACTGTTTAATATGTATAGTAGTAGAGGTAGTAAAGGTATTGGCAGTAATCGGAGAGATTAGGGTTTGAAGATATTATTCAAGAAGTAGAATCTAGTGCAACTTAAAAAGAAAAAGATAAAGTAATGAGGAATTCAGGTTAGCATTTGAGGGATAACAAAGAATGAATGCACATGCGCCACTGCAAACGGTTATGAGCCATGTCATTTAGGGTGTCTAACCATCGACCACTATCATCTCGCGGACCCCAACTAGGTAGTTGACACATGATTTAAAGTAAATATGTGTGTATTAATGATGATGATGATGGCTTTACTAAGCAATAGATGGTAACATTCCTAAAGATAAGTTGAAAGTCTCGAATCATATATTCGCTCCCTAATCTTCTCCATTACTGCTAATACTTCTACTATCGCTATCACTCTTGGATTTGAACTGACAGTTGGGTCTCTGTACTGATGTGATATGGCAACCTGAACTGATGTACTTACGTACGAAGTTCTGCGTTGTATTTGTCTGTCTATACGTTGAAAGGAAAAGCTTTATGAATATAACCGATGTCACTATGAGATTTTGTGTGATTGAAAAGAGCAGAGATAAGTTTGCTTTGATAATCACTTTTTATAATACTCATATCTAATCCAATAGATCTTTAAAATAAAATAAAATAGTTTTTGAGTGCATAAACTAATAGTCAAATTAAGCCTAAAATTGATTTTTAAGAGAGGTAAAAAACATATCTCAGTAGCTATTTAGCAGAACACCTAAACGAGAATTCAAAACATCCATTTGTAATGATTGTATTTAGAAACTTTTTCGAAAAATTGATGATGAAATGACTACTTTAAGTAAGTTCAGTTGGATTGAAATGATGTAGCATGAACATGAATTCTTCAATCAAGCTGAATTTATGTACACATGGTAAGAAATCAAACAGTCGAGTAAAATGCAAAATTATAAAAGGGAAATTAAATCTTGTATAGAAACAGATATATCGCATCAGTTCTCTGCAGTTTAATTACGATAATACAAATAAACATGAATAATTTAGTGGCATATAATAATGACAGATCTAGCTACTTCATTAGTTTTGGCAAAGGTTCATGTGGTTGGTTTTCTGTAACAACATCATAGATTACTATAGCTAGAGCCTTAGTTATGTTCCCGCTTTCATTCGCTTCATTATTACGGCACGAATCCATGAAGTCACTGACAACTGGAATGAGTAATGTTAGTAGGCATAGACTACCTCGTTAGGGTCTGCGAGATGATAGTAATCGGTGGTTAGAGACTTTGAATGACATGGCTCAAAACCGTTTGCGATGGCGCAGGTGCTTCCATTCTTCGGCTTCTCTCAAATCCTAACCTTCTGAATTCTTTATCACCTTTATCTTTCTCTTATTTCACTAGATTATACTTCTTGAATAATATCTTCGAACCCTAATCTCTCCGAATACTGTTAATACTTCAACTATCTCTTCTGCTATACAATTTGAATCGACAATTGCATCTTAGTGCCAATGTAGTAAATGTTATGATTCACACTCTTAGAGTTCCATGGAAAAAGGAATATTCTGCATTATCCATGGCTTTTTATAAATAAATATAGATTTCATTAGCATAACCAATACAGTTGATAGAGGGGGACATTTGTATTGATGTCATGGTTTAATTAGTCACCAATCCACTAGGACCAACTGAACATCAAGTAAATGACGTGTGGTCTATGTGCGTAACTATCTCATTGAAATATATTAACACAGGTTAGTTGTAAAGTGAGATTTTATATTTGAAAGATAAACAGTGCATATCAAAATGAGGTGCAATCATTCACAATGACACAGACAGCGCCCCAATATTTTTTCTAAGAAATGATGCAAGAAGAAAAATCGATGAATATATAAATCTATGTAACGCAAGTGCCCAAATCCTTCAATTCTGTTATCTCGTTCAATGATACAATTATGTTACTTTCAAGATAATCTCCATAAAGATTAAAAATCCCACCCAAAAATGTAAGTGTAACCAAGAGTATTTATCGAAAATTAGTCTTACTCGTTGTGGATTTTCGAAATTTGAGCTACATCTGACGACGTCACAGAGGACATTGAACGTTTACGCTTTTCAAATTCTGATCGTAATGAAGGTAGTGTAACTTGTTGAAGATTAATATTAGTGACAGAATTCACCCGTGGTGATTTTGTACCAACTAGATAAAATTAAAAAAAAACAACACCTCCTAAATTAATCTATTAAACAAATAAAATGAGATGAACAATTTTCGAAAATTCAATGAGTTATGCTTCTTGATGTATTTAATATAAACTCCTACTATATATGCGGGATAAAATGTGATGTGAAATCGAAGTAGGACACTTAATACCGACAAACAACGTATAAACTTATTAAATAATATCTTTTCGTAGACAACGGTTTGTATTTCAATAAAAGTGATTCAATAGACAAACTGTTTTTTGCTTAGAAAGTGGTGAATGCTACTCACTACGTAGTATATAGAGAGTACGCAGAGGAGCATCGTTTGGAGATTACTACTAGAGAAAAGTATCCGAAGATCAAAGTTTGCAGCGCGATCAGAGTGCATTGAAGACCAGAACAGATATGAGGGAACACAATGAAAAACATGCTTGTAGTGCAAGTGTATGGTTGACGATTGTGTACGCAAATTTTGTAAATTAAGTGTCTTCACATACATACGTACATTCTATATGGTCTTGACTTCTTGATACGTTACAATAGAATTCACTACTTATAGACAACAATTAGCAATTTCAACTTTATTCAAAGTAGGTTTATAATAAAATGGGAAATATTTATGCATAATTATGTTTATGATTGATCCTATTAAGGAATACAGCTAACAAACTGTGTGGTTAGTTTCAAAGTTCAACCGATCATGATACAGCGATGACTAAGGTTACTGAAGTAGATATTTCTTAGAAAAATTTAGTGGATTACGCAGACCACTAAAAGCATACCTGCAATCAATAAAGTCACTCACTACAAGGCAACGAATAATCCAATATAATACAGTAAATACGAACTCACAATAAAATAGATTTAGTTTTAAATACAACTTAACAGCATAATTATTATGATGTCTAATACTGAACGCTAAACTTCGCTTCCACCGATTTGATATCAGACTGGAGTTGCATATCACGTGTACATTATCATCACCAGACAGAAAATTTTATTCGAAAGTCATTTAACTATTAATAGTCAATAATAAGCTTCGAATAAAATTGACGCTACTATTTCAGATACACGAACTCACAGTTACAGACATAAAACCGATGTACAAACAAACATCTCGCATGAATCAATGTAGCCTAACAGGTAAATGTATGTTTGTGTGCACATGTTCTAGAAATCAGGTTTAAGACAAAACTTGACTTTCAAAGTCTTTCACTTCATATTAGCAAAGAATACATACATAATTTACTTTACATCTTAAACTTTCAAAGTAAGAGTATAATTGGAATATTTTAGTCAAGACAAACGAAAATTCGAATATCATGAATCATGAAGGTAATTATTTAAATTAGCTGGAATTGAAAAGCAATTTTTATATTTACGATCAATTATCAAGGGAAAAAGAATTTTGAATATAATAGATTATACGAATGGTTGATTATATGGCAAAACGACGAATTGAAAACGGAAATGAAGCAAATAGAAATATTTAAAAAAAAACTTACGACGCTTTAATGGATTATTTGGTTGTGACAGACTACCAATCGATGGTAATTTACTTGAAAGACAAGGAGTTGGGCGCTAAAATAAAATGAAAATTAGAGATAAGGGAGTAGAAATTAATGAAAACGAAGGAATATAAATCTCGCAAGTCACAATTTCATAACGAAGTTCTGAAGTGACACAGTCAATCAGTCAGTTACAAATAAGAACTTCGTACGTACGTACATCAGTTTCAGTTCGCAGACCACATCAGCACAAATATTTGATTGTCAACTCAAATCGCATTATAGGAGTATTATTAGTATTCGGAGAGATTTGGGAGCGAGGATATTATTCAAGAAGTATAATTCAGTAAAATAAGCTTAAAAACAGAAAGATAAAGGTGATGAAGAATCCAGAGAATTATGACGTGAGAGAAGCCAAAGAATCCATGTACCTGCGCCATTGCAAGCAGTTTTGAGCCATGTCATTCAGGGTCTTTAACCAGCGGTTATCATCGTCTCGCGGACGCCAACCAGACAAACTACACTTACCAACATGACTCAGTTCACTTGTCAGTAACTGCATGAATTTGTGCCATGTTTTGTTTTGGCCGCCCCTAGCTGGAGTGACACAAATGCAAACAATACTTGTTAAGTATTGAATCCATGTCTACATTTATTATTTTAGTGAATTCTATTTAACGATTAGAAGTGAAAATATTACAGAACCAATCAAGATTGATAAGATACATTTTTTACACCATTTAATAATTATGAAAGCCTTCACTTATTGTTACTACAAGTTTGTACAGAATTACAGCTTAATTACAAAAATTTCGCTCGGTAATTACACACAATAAAAAAAAGAGGAAGACAAGATGAGATTTATCAGTTCAGATGAAAAAGTTATTCTGTATTAGATGAATCATCAAATCTATAATAAGCAGTTTGTTTAGTAACAAATTAATGGTTCATTTTTGAAAAGCAGAAATTCAAATATTTTGAAAATTCCCAACTAAGTATAAACCACATTTTTAGAGTAAATTAATGAATGATTGAATTAAGTTAAAATAGTATAAAACGTTAAAGTAGAATCAAAATATGTTTAAATTCATACAGAATAGGAACAGGGTTTTACAGGCATCAGGTTTATCACTACTGAAAAAAGGCAAGAAGACAAGTGGTGATAAAGTAGAGCACTTCACAAAATAGACCCAATATTCTCCACACTACTATTAATCTATTGTCACTACACGATTTTAGAGATTGTTGAATGTTAATGAAGTTATGAAGCAATTTGAGTCTGTTGGATGCTTACTCAGCGATCTAGAGGTTAAGTGTTTGCGCATAAGGCAGAAGATTGTGAGTTCGCGTATGGAGTCCGAGGTTGTGAATATGCACTGCTGAGAAGTCTTATGCTAGAACGAAATGGCCGTACAATGCTTCCAGATTTTCAATAAAGTTCTACTTTAGAATGATTTATGATTTCGATGAAATACTATTAATCTAATTTAGTTTATTATGAGTTAGTGGAAATATAATTGGAACAACACTTTGGTTTCCTGTAGTATTATGCTCAATATTCATTCAAAACGTAAAGTATAACACATAAAAAATTAAATGAATGCATATCAGTACTTTTATCAGCTTTATTTATAAGTCACGGAATTCCATAGAGTGAAACTTTAGTTATGAAGAAAATTAGGTCATATTTTGTAAATCAATGCACATGATGTCTTAATCTATATTATAATGTAGTCATTTGAGTCGTTGTTACCTGTGTAATCCGCGATCAATTTGGAAAGCTGTTTTAGGACTGATAGTAACAAAGAGAAAATGCTTGATATTCACTGTGTCAGAATATGTTCATTTTCTAGCGAAGAATGAAATGCCATTCCATACAGTGAACTCGCCAATGAGAAAACTAGACCAATTGAAACAACTGATTAACCAACACGGAACAGTAGAAAGGATGTCAGTGTATGATTTTATTAGGCGTCATTTACTTAATGAGACTACATCACATGCCAAAATAGAATTAGCGGGGAAACCATAGTCTCGTACGTTAGAAAAAAAATAAAAGAATAAAAAACACTCACCTTATTAAATGTAACATATAACGAGCCACGTCTAAATGGTTGGGTATCATCATAGTCAATGGCAGCATTACTAATGGTATCGGAAGTTGTAGTAGACAAACTAACAGGGATACTGTCAGCCGTATGCTGCTGTTGTTCATCATCGAATTTCGCATATTTCTTATTGAGATAATAATGACCATTGGTTGAATTGTTCATTTGTTGTTGTAATGATTTATCATCATTGTTAACAATATCCTTCTTACATGGTGTACAATAAGTACGACTGTATGCAACACGAGCAATATCAGTTAATAAATCATTCGTTACATTGTAGACATTTGGAATAGTATTATTACTAGGAATTAAAGAATTATCAATATTATGAACCGGTTCAAGTTTATCACAATCTGTGGAATGTATATTTTCATCGGGTTTAACAGTACTAGTCACAGCAGTGGTAGAAGTAGTAGTATTAGTAGTAGTAGTAATAGCAGAAGCAGTAGTAACAGTAGTAACACTATTATCACTAATCATAGTTTCTGTATGACTCATTGAATGAATAGACGAATTAACCAACTGGTCAACAGTGGATTGATTAACTACAGGAATAGGTTGATTACTTGGATGAGCTGGTCTTGCAGGTTTAGCAACAGTTCCAGATGTACGAACTAGATTTTGTAAAACTCCTGTAAACAAAACAAAAAAAAGAACACATCACAAAGTATTCCATTAAAGAGAAAGCACACAAAATAAAGAATAGTGCGAAAAAAATTGTTCATAAATCCTTCATCAGTAAGGACTAATAAACAAGAAATGATGTTTCGGTCAGTTACAAGAAATTAACAACTAGGTATATATGTAATCGGCTGAAGTTGTGATGCCTTATTTGCACAGCAAGATGTTATTATCAGGATAAATTCCAGAACAGTTGCATCATCTGTATCAGCGTAGTAGAGATATTTGTGTAAAAGTAATGTAATTTCAAGGTGGCCAAAGAAATTAGTAGAATACAAAAGTATAAAATCCTCTTAAAATTCGTGATCTAAAGAGGAAAACAGTTTTTAAAAAGATTTAATTTCTTACTACATATAAATATTCATTAACTGACACGACTAAATAAGGGAAGGGACGTTAACACTTAAGTTTGTTAAAAAAATTTTCCATTATTCATGACAAAAGCACCCAGCACAAAGTATCTTAGTTAGTGTTTCGGATTATGATAGAAGTCAAAATCTTATGACAGTGACGTATATCAGGTGTATAATAATTTTAATAAACATTTTTATTAAAAAAGTTGATATTTCTTCTCATCAGACAGATTATTATCATTTAAACCGATAATTGTTGGTACAAACGGGTACCTAAATATTTATGAGCCACACAAATCAATGAATTCGTGTATGGGCTAGGATACAGTGGGAGTGTTCAAACTGAGACAAGTAGTTTTCTTACGAGTCACTTCCCGAGTCTTTAACTTAAGCAGTGAACAACAATAGGTTCATACGCCATTAGTTGCATCGGGATTCTGCAAACGATGAGCACCATTATTTTGGGGTCAGGGTTTTCTAAATTCTCTAAGTGAATCCTTCGTACCCATAAGCTCGGTTTAACCTTGGCCGAACAGTCGCTTTCCCTCCTCTCACCTTTGTTAATAAAGCTACCACCACCGCAAGAAGGCAATGAACACGACTTCCATGAGCAGTGCTTATATACGTGTGGGGATTTCGAACGGAGCAGCGGACTCCTTGCACTCTCGATCAAAGCTTTCAGATAAAACAAATACATAAAGCATATATTAGCTTCACCTTGAAAATGGCTGCCATATTTTACTGATAAAATCTTCAAACTTTGATTACCACTTTGAATACATGTATATATATATATATATATATATATATATATATATATATATATATATATATATATATGACTGCGCAGCTGGAACAAGTTTACCGGACATAACATTAAAATTATTCAAACATACGTTCTATATAAAATCAATCATATTGACTGTAAGTTGTAAGGAGCTGAAACAAATCCATGAATTAATACTGTCCTGATAGAATATAACATATTGTAACACCTGATTATCCGAAGTTGTTCAGGGATAGAGTTTGAAAATGTGTCAATTGTTACAGTAAGTCATCCTACAGAAAGAAGGTTACCGAATAAAAAAATTCGAAGGTGATCATTAGATCAATAAAATTTCATTATATGTGACCGAATTTAGTCTACAAGATCATTAATTATACGTAACCCTTCCTTATGGAATCCGTACTTGGTCGTAAAATGTAAAATAGCTATGTACGTTGAAAGCGTTTTATGAGAACGATTATTTTTTAAATGACGAGGTATTTAAATAACCTGATATACCAGAACTGTTAGATGTGTTAAACAGTATAAAACCAATATGAAACATGCGTCATTCCACAAGACGAGGATTATTTAAAATCAGTAGTCAGTCAGTTACAACGTAGAACTTCATACGTACATATATCAATTCAAGTCACCAAGCCACATTAGCATATCCAATTATCCTCTACGGATTCAGTTTTGAAAAACATTAAATTTCAAATATTTACAACCCGAGGGTGGGTATGAATTCTATCTAATAAAGCTAGAAATTTCATTACGTTTTTATTTTGATTAAAATCAAATAAGCCAATTGTTTGCTTACAACTGAACATTAACAGTAGGCCGTGAACATCAATAACATGGTAGATAATCTTATACAACATTAACTGAGCAAACAATGAAATGATAATAGAATCTAAGAAACAACTTGTTTATTATTTATAAAGAATAGCGGGAAACTGTATATTTAAATAACCTATTGTTTAATATCAATGAAATCGAAATATTAGTTGGACAATGTATATAAGGTTTTATACCATATATATATACATAGATATAGTCGATAATAAATAAATTTCACACAATGTGTTCTAATTACAGGAAAAAGGAAAATTAAATCATACATTTTATTCTTGGTCTAATTACCAACACTTTCAAACTAACTAAGAAAGAGTAACTAACACACACACACACACACACACACACAAGCAATGAATCAATAGATACAGTTAAAAGTAATATACACCGATTGATTACATAATGCTATTATCAAATTATAATATATCGATAAATCAATACTAATCATGTTAATTAAATAATAAAATACCGAAAAGTAAGCTCGAGAAAAAAAAACAAATAATTTACACTAATTTCAATAATTTTTTAAAAAAAAAAATAAAAGAAATTCATTAACGAAATAACAGAAAAAAATCGAAAAGAGAAATAGTGATTATAAAGAAAATTATAACAAGGTAGAGAAATTTGTGAAATACGAAAAATATACATACAAACAGGTGTGTTGCCTCGAATAAAATTAGAATAATTGCAATATAAAAATATGACTAACGTAAGTTAGTCCGAGATTTTCACTTTACAACGACTCAGTTGTTTTTGCTTGTAGTGACCAATGTCATATTTTTGTCTGGTCGATTAGTGTTGATTGAATTCTATCAACCAAGCTGAAATGTGTACATGAAGTCTAAGGGACTAAACAAAGAATGGATTATATTGAAATGCTAAGTAATTTGAGTTAGTCGATAAGTACTCCTAAACCTAAATTTTGCGGTAATTTACTCTGGTAAACAAGGTGTACCTATAATCGTGAAGGAATCGATGTTGAAGGGATTCGACCGATTTCATCCAACTCTGCAGTCTAAGATGTTACCAGTGAGCTATTTGAAAAGCGAATGACCACATGTACGGCTGAAACATTTAATTTGAAATGACCAATATCATGTTCGTCTGGTTCTTTAATACTGGTCGAATTTTATAGACCGATCATAAAATAACCATTACGCATAAAGTGACTAGCTATCAAGTACTGATAACTAATATGGAAGCCAAGTTTTGATCAGTAGGAATTCAGTCAGTCAGTCAACAACAACAACAACATAAAACTTCGTACGTACGTACATCAGTTCAAGTCGCAATACCACATTAGCACAGATACACAAATGCCAATTTAAATACTATATTGGTAGAGATAGTGGAAGTAATACTAGTAATGAAAAAGACTAAGATCTCAAAATATTATTCAAGGAGTAGAATCTGGTGAAATAAAATTTAAACAAAAAGATAGAGGTGATGAGGAATTTAGAAGGTTACGATTTGAGAGAACACAAACAATTAATGCACATGCACCATTGCAAACGGTTTTGAGCCATGTCATTCAGGGTATATAAACATTGATTACTATCATCTCGCTGGCCCCAACCAGTTAGTCAACACCTACCAACATGACTCAGTTCACTTGTCAGTGACTTCATGCATTTCTGCCATGTTTTGATCTGGCCACCCCTAGCTTTCGTCCAACCTATTCCTACATCTCGAAACATCGCTCGACGAGGCAGTCAGTAGTTAGGCATACGTAACACATGTCCCAACCACCTCAACTGATGAAGTTTCATTAATTTATCTATTGATTTGCCATCTTTACCTAGCACCCGATTCCTAATAACAGCGTTGCTCACTCGGTTGTCCCAGGATACCCGAGCAATGCTTCGAACACACCTATGATCGAAAACCAGTAACCTACAATTATCTTCTACTCTGACTGGCCATAAAGTAGGACGGAGCGAACTGCTGCGCAGTAAACTCGTCCTTTAGTCAGCAAACGGATATCTCTTCTACGCCATAAGTGACGCAAGTCGGTGAAGGCCGATCGAGCTTTCTGTATCCGTGCTAAGATTTCGTCAGTCACCAGGCCATCAGGACTGATGAGACTCAGTAGGAACTAGCAGCTCATCGGGAATCAAATAGCGACATAAAAACAATGAATAACAACGGATTAAATATGAATGATAACGTAGTTAAACCTACAAAAGGTAACTGAATTACATATTTCTTGTTATTGACTGCAAAAAGTAGCTAAAATCAACTTTGTGACCCACAATTGTTAAGTATAATAATTAGTAATGTTATGTATATGAAATATTGATATTGTTGTAATATTTACGATAAAAGTACAAAATGTATTCAATTACAACCTTTAAAAGACAGCAAGCTTTTTTTAAGGTGTAAGCATATCTTACTATAATGTCAGCAAACATAAGAAAACAGAGACAGAATCAGATACGTACGTTATTGAATGATAGATTACTCTTATCACACAAACTATAACATACACTTCAAATGTATATGAATTTCCCATTTTTTTAACGACACAAAGCATCAGTAACTTGTCTCTGTTTATTGAATAAATTATTATTTAGGAATGGAGTTTGAAAAATTACAATATTCAGACAGAAAAAGAGGACGGTGTAGAAACCAACTAGTGAATAAAAATAGAATCGATATCAAATAAAAACCACTTTAGGTTTCACATCATTGACTGACTTTGGTTAAAGTCAGTCAAAAGAAAAATATTGGACACTTTTTTTGTCTTCGTATGGGAACCTAGCGATAAATGTGCATGATATCATCAGAGATCAAACCTTAAACATTCTGAGCATGGGACCCGAATCGAAATTTCAATTAAAACTAAAATAACGTGATGTTGAATTTCGAGAAGAAAAATGATGAGTGACATCTGCTACATTGAAATAAATTTCAAACTACATAGACGAATAATATTTATCAATAATTAGTGTCATCCCATCACTTTTCCTATGAGA